AGATTTGTCCTGAGGTCATCTCTCTTCTCTCTCTTTTCTCAAATTTTGGAGAGTATACATTTTCTATTCAGATTGAAGACATTTTGATCGTAAATTAGAGCTATATTAACCCTAGGATGCATAAAGTACTGATAGTTCAATTTTGACACAATGCTATGAGTAGACCTCAAGATGCGATTGAATGCAGTGCATATTTTTAAAATATCATCACTACGCCGCAGTACGAGTAGCAGTGGGTTGCCAGATGATAGCGGGTCCATAAATAAAAATGACATTTTAAGGAGCAATGCGATGCCATTCTGTCAGTAGCAACTACTTAATATTGGATTATGAATCTCAGAAAGCAAGACCTTATGCTTGAATGAAAATTATATTATTCCAAAACCAGTTGCCTTTATGGCTATAGAGCTTTAATAAATCAAGATACACCTTGTTGAAGATTAAATAATAAAAATAAATGATTATAGAATTAAGCAGAAAGAGAGCCAGCTAAACTAATCAACAAGAGAATAATTGAGGAGCCGAGTCAGCTTTCATAATGCCAGATAAGGACCATTTTTCAGAATTCTGAAGGCATTTTTAGCGACGCTAAGGCTAACTAAAGCAAGGCGGCGAAGCGACACGTAAAGGTGGACTAACTAGTATCTGAAGATGAATATTTGCTCAAGAAGAAGAGGGGTAATTAAATCACAATGAAGATCGACTCTCTTACCAGAGTCTATGCTAGAAAGTCCGCGCTGCATAGAATTAAGCATGGCTTCAGCGGTAAGCGGTGCATTATCCTCAACTGATGGAGGTATTGTGGTAGTGAGCACTACCTGTGGCAGGGAGTCCTCATCAACGAGCGTCGCACCATTTGGTCCGAGATCGGAGAGCGAAAACCTGGTGCCAATCGAGTTACACGTAGTGGCGACAGCTGGGCAACTATGGTTAGTGTCGCCCTTTATGTTGGCAGACTTAGTGATAACAGAGGAAGATGGTGTAGATTCAATTCTGCAGCGGGAAGGATGTATTTTCGGTCTAGCCACGGCCTTTAGCAGAGCTGAAAGTTCACTCTGCTTGTAGAGCAAGACTATGGAAGAAAGTAGGCGTAGAGAACATAGATAAATAATATGAATAAATTCTGATAAATCATCTTTATAATCTAAATGTATCTTTCAATAATATCATTTGGGAGATAGATAAATTTATGCAAATAATCTGTAGGGAAAATAGTGCTGCCAAAACTGTATACTAACGAAAATGGGCTACTCACTCGCCACAAAGGACTTGAATTAAGCTTCAGATTATTACAGGGCAAAATAAATATGTATATATTTATTTCTGATTAATTTCACTCGAAAAACTCAATAAAAGGCTAAGTTATAAGGCCTGCGTTAATATTTTAGGATGTGACTATTTGGAACCTATAGTTATCCTTAATTTTTAACTGCTCAGATCGAAAATCTGAAGTAATTAATTTCAACATTGACTGGTGTTTTAATACAAGAAGGCGCCCAAAATACTTCAAGACTATTTAAATTGTTAGTTAACCAAAGCGAACAATTCCATAGCAGCCTTAGTTCATTTGTTTCCACAAAAACCTGTAAATAAAAAGGAATCATTCATGTGAACGTTATTCTGCGCTGACATTGGGTAAAATAAATCTTGATTCGAATCCAGCGGGATAAAACACTTAATTATGTAGTAAGGGGTGACTTTATATCTATTTTAAGCATGCCACAAACTTTTCTTCGAGTAGCTTGCGAATTAAAATACTGCGTGAGTAAATAAAAACAGACGAAGAAGACACAACAGTTGTAGCGTCATCAGAAAAAGAACTCAGGGATTCATCAACAAAAGGCAATATTAAATAAAGGTAAAAAATATTGGTGCTCACATAAATTTTCTTCAAGCAACTGCCTAACTTTTTCTCGTTTTTGCCTCAATTCGAAGATAGAAGCCCTATTGGCCTGAATCAGACTGATGAACAAAAGAAAATGAGAAATACAACTTGAGAATAATTTAGGATAGCAAAGAGATGCAACACAACTGAGGAAAACGAATATGCAAGCCTAAGAGCCTAAGATAGTTTGAAAAACAATAATAGTAGTGTGAGCTAATAATAAGTGCAGTAGGCTGCTTGTATTTTGTTCACAAGGCGAGATCTAGATCAGGATTGAGGAAGACATTCTTACTTTGAGGGACATAAAAATATGTAAAATCAGGTGCAAGGCGCAGTCATAGATGTTTACGTTACCCAGAGCTGGTCTTATAACAAGGGATCAGGACATCAAGAGATGAATAGCTCCACGGATTTATTGAGTAGGGATTTTTAAAAAAGTAATTTAAACAAGCCATAAAGAATTAAAAAGAAGACTTAGTATAACACACTAACTTAAAATTACTATCGATGGTATGAAGACCAAGATGGCGTGGCCTTTTGTGTGGCCGTAATTGCCTTTCGTTGTAAAGAAGATGTTTGACCTTGTCTTCGCAACATGTTCATATTGGTAGGAAGACTTAGAGGAACGCACCCAGTCCGGAGTCCATTGCTTGCATGATCATTTCCAAAGTTAAACCGTGGACGTGGTGGGAATGTATCACGCCCACGGTTCAACTTTGGAAATGATCATGCATGCCATATAAATAAACCGAATAGGAAATACCCTGAATGTAAGGAATACCGGTAAGAAGATAAGTAAAAATTATTTATGCTTAATTGATAGATTAAAGGATGAGAGGGAGTTAGCCGCCTGGGCAAAAAGGAGGACGCAACTAGTCTTTTCTTATTTTGGTTCTAATGATACAAGGGAGTTGAGCCGCCTGCAAAAAGGAGGCGACGCAACTAGTCTTTTCTTATTTTTTGGTTCTAATGATAGTGGTCTTTTCTTGTCATGGTTCTAATAATAGTCAATTCTCTGTCTTTTTAGCTCACAGTTTCTCTCTCGCATTTTGAGACCAAAAACCAAAAATAGGCTCATCAACAAAACCAGACGTGTTTGACTTTGCACAATCGGAGTGATAGTTATAACTTAAATGTAGAAAGGGGGAGATCGGAGTCATCAAACCTAGATGAAAAAAAACAGACGTTCCTTTTTGCTGTCCTAATTATTTTGAGCCATCACTTCGGGTTTC